TTTCTCTGACCGAACCTTTCGCCTGATTTTACTTTATTCTCTTCTAATCTCTTTTTTTCGTCTGCTTGCCGCTATTTATACATCTATCACTTAGGCCTTCTAAAAATCTCTAAATCCTCGACATTAATGGACTGTACGCGACGTTCGATAGACTCGACATCAATGAATTATAAACACAACATACGATTCTTACTGAGTTACATAACCAAACTTGTTATAACTATTGCCTTTAAAAAAGTGTTTTTAACTCTTTTGTTATGAAAAACTAAACAATCATGAAATATTCGCTCACAAAAGAAATAAATTAATAATACCTACACTAAACAGTCTTTTATATCTGACAGTAGGTGAGGCTTAAGTTTTATTTTATTTTAAATGTTTTTCAAAGATTGGGAATCTATGGTCTAGCCTATTAAAGATTAGTAGATAAATTATTTCACTTCCTCTTCAACCAGGTTGAGATAACCAGACACAGCACTTTCACTATTCCATGACTCATCAGTTATTTTCACCCGAGTGTTATTTCTTGGCACTTGTGGATAATGTTAAAATAATAAACACACAACGTTAAAATAGATACACAATCAAAAATATTTTAATTAAGATCAACATAAGACCACTAAAAAGTTGACTCTACATGTTTCGATGTTGCAATGTCATATTCAGGAGTGAGTTGCAAGACATAAGTGTGTCTTATGTATACTTTTTTTTGTTGTTGTTACATAAGTCATATGATCTATGTACAGGTTTACATTTTAGAGAAGGTCGCCCCACATTTTTGCATAATGTTAAGATTATTCCCATCTGAGTTATACGTATAATTCAAATTATAATAGCCTACACGCATTATTTCGCATTTATTATAATTATAACCCAGCTGCTATGTATTTGCCCAAACCTCTAAATGATCTAAATCCTTTTGTAAATCAGCAGCATCCTTTTTACAGCTAGCAACATCCAAGACCTTAATATTATCAGCAAAGTTAAGTAATTTATTGACTATTCCTTCATCTATGTCATTGGTGTAAATCAAAAAAGAGCAAAGATTCTAAGACTGAGCTCTGAGGTACACCACTTAACGTTAATCCAGTTTGAATGAACTACATTTGTAACAACTCTCTGCTTTCTTCCATCTAGATACTCTTCTATCCAATTTGTTAGCTTATTTCCCACACCTAAAGAGACTATTTTTTACAAATCTTCTATGTGGCACCCTTTCAAATGCTTTCTGAAAAATCCAGATACAGTAAATCTAAAACCCTTACCCTCATCTACACAGGCTTGACTTGAAATAAGCTTTGCCAAAATATTTGTAAACATAAAATCAATTTTAAATGATAGTTTTGTTTGTTTGTAATTAATCATAAAGCTACCCAATGGGCTATCTGTGCTCTACCTACCACGGCTATCGAAACCAGGTTTATCAGGTTGTACGTTCGCAGACATACCGCTGTGCCACTGGAAGGCTTAAATAATAGTATCTCACAAACGATTTTACAAAAGGATTGACAATTTTTGTTTGTTTGTTTTTAATTTCGCGCAAAGTTACATGAGGGATATTTGCGCTAGCCATCCCTAATTTAGCAGTGAAAGACTAAAGACCCACTGCCAGCTCTTGAGCTATTCTTTTTACCAAGGAATAGTGTGATTGATCATCACATTATAACGCCCCATAGTTGAAAGAGCAAACATGTTTGGTGGGACAGGGATTCGAGCCCGCAACCCTCAGAATGCTAGTTGAGCGCCCCAACCACCTGGCCATGCATTCCACTAAAAATACATTATGAAAAGCCGAACATTAAAAATTGATGACAGAAGTCCATCCGTTGCATCGAGACTGACCAAATTATTTGGTGCTACAATATTCAATATAAATTCAAATTACTCATAAAATAGTCAGATATCAGGAAATTAGCAGAAGTTATTTGTTTTTTAGTTGCACTTCCAAATTAACTATCTTTTTTGATAATCATGTGCAAGTTCACTTGAAAATATTTCGCTTCTAAAATAGTGTGGCGTCAGCGAGGTCACGTGACTAGTATTACGCCACGACCTTCTCGAACCTTCGTAAATTGTCGGGAGACTACTAGATTGGGGGTAGTCTGGTATATATAAGACCGGCCACGAAGCGACGAAAACAATGTGTAATGTAATGAGTAATTGAACTGCAGTCAGAGGGTGTGTAATTGAACGGAGAGAGAATATTGTTGAGCACGTGAGACGTTCGTTTGAATTATAGTGTTTGTTATAGCGCGACTGTTGAAATTAAGTGTATCGCAAAGTTATATTCAGAAAGAATAAACCAGTTTTATTTAACAAAGGACTTGTGTCGCTAAAGTTTCGTCGGAACGAATTTACGGAAAATTAACGAACGAACGGAGACGTAACAATATATATATATATATATAATAATAATAAGAATAAGAATACCCATTCTACATACATACATAACATGTAGCTAACATCTGTCGATTACCTATTTCACCTCTCCTCGTATCTGAGAGGTAGTATTGGTTAAAAATGATTTCATCTTTTTTTATGTGTATTTGGGTAAACACATCAGTATACTATAAAACGCACCTAACTATTGGCGTTAGGTTATGATGTGATTCAACAGGTTAGAATTTTTTACAGATCCAATTCTTCAACGCTTGACGTAATACTCAGTGACCCGAAACTAACTTTTGAAACTGTAAGGGAGTATCTCATATTATTTTTCCATAATGAAACAAATGACCAAAATCTTTTCCAGCCCTAAGCCTTTAAAATAATATAATCATATTATAAATTTTGTATCCTCTCAATAATTTATTGTATTATTTTATCTTTATTTCAACTGTACTAACCAATTTTTTAATTCGTGATGTGTAATGAACATATATTGTTAATTTTTTGCCCAATAATTTGTTCGTAATCTTTTAGATATAATGCCCGGATGAAGATTGAATTCTCTCTTACTTTTCATTGCAGCGTGGTGGTGAGAGGTTGGAGATATACGTTAGTTTGCTGGGTTTGATTCGAATTCTTCAATCATGGCAACACAAAGAGAAAGAACTTTTATTATGGTCAAGCCTGATGGTGTCCAGCGAGGTATAATAGGTGAAATAATTCAGCGATTCGAAAAGAAAGGGTTCAAACTAATTGGAATGAAATTTTTACAGGTAAACAGTCAGCTCCAAAAGCAAAAGTTACACAAACTTTGTACAGGCTACTGCTAATTTTCGAAATTTTATATTTATAATATTAAATATAATTAATATGAGGTTTATTATAACTTTAATATAACTTCGTTGTATTACGAAAGTAAACGTTAAATGTGCGGGATTGTAATACATATGTTTGTAAATTGCGCATGGTGATAAGAAAACTTCTCGCCACATAACATGTTATACTTCTGATAACTAGAACTTAGAAGTCTTGCGAAACCTAATTTCGTAAGTTTAGCCTTTACTGTGACATATGCAGCATGCTAGATAAGTATATGGTTGGATCCCAAAAAAGTACTGGCTTGATACCCTCCAACCGGTAACGATCTTTCAAATACTAACTACCCGGCAGTCCAAATATTTGAATATTGATGAGCTACGATCACCTCTCGCTTTACAGAATAAGTAATAGTAAATTACGAAGCTGGTTTTTCTTCATGCTTGACGAGAATGATCTGAATAAAACTTTTGCACTAAAAAATATATATAGCGATCGTTATTCTTCCTTAATGTCGATTGATCAACGCAAATACAAGCTGTGGGAACGATCGTCGAAATACTAGACACCCAGCAATATAATTTAATATAACATAATTTCACGATCTTGAATAATTAATATTGATAAACTTCCAATATAGTAATTTATATTATTTATATATATAGAATACAATTTGTGTATTTTTTTTTTTTTTAATTTTCGGTGGGTTATCATTATTATTACCAGGGGTAAAATTCTCAAAAAAGAAAAGAAAAGGTAGAAGTACTCAGCTAGGTGAAGTGGACCTGTTATTGAAAAATAAAAATAACATATTTCTAAAAATATATTTCTAACCGACAAAGCAGCTCAAATAAGCCCCAGTACTAGTATTACTTTAACAATAAATTCTGGTACTCAGTATGGGCAGAATTTCACCCCTAATTGTTACTGTTATTGTTGTAGCTCAACAATATTCAAATTTTTGGACTTCTGGATATTTAGTACTTGAATGATCATTCCTGGCTGCTGGATATCTAGCCACTGTGACATAAAAAACAGTTACCAGATTTTAATGATAAAAAATCCAGGACACATATCCAGCTATATGGTCTGGAGGATTGCCTTAAACTCCTCTTGAAGGTTTTCAGGCAGACCCTAGTTGAAAACATATTTTAGATTTAAGTGTGAAATGATAAAATTTGTACAGAAGTGTAAAAAACTGTACAGTTTAGGACTGTTGTGAATTAAAATGTTTTAAGTTTCTTAGTTGAAAAATCACATTCTCCAAACTGCCAACTAAATTGATTCAGAGATAAAGGGCATCATACTATTGTAATGCTAGGATTATTAGAAATGAAATTGAGATCAAAGCAGTTGTGGAAACTGAGTATTTTGATATTATGGGAATCACTGAGACTTTGTTAGATTTGAACAATTTTGGGGATAAAATTGTTTTTGATATACCGGGCTAGAGATAGAGTATTGAAAAAAAGGGGGAGGAGTAGTTCTATATTTGAGGAGTGAATTCCATCCTGTTGAGTTAGAGCATATTAAAGAAAATAGCACTGAGGTTGAGTCAGTTTGAGTTAGCGGATATAAAGGGAAAAGTCTTGTAACTGGGATTTGTTGTGGACCACCAGGTCAGAATGTGGAAGTTAATGAGAAACTGTATAAAAAATATCAGAATAGTAGCTGAAAAAGATGTTATTATTGGAGATTTTAATTTCAGAGGTATTGATTGGGAAAATATCGAGTCTGACAGTGCCCTGAATAGGTTTTAGGAAATTGTTCAGGATACTTTTATGCACCAACTGGTGATGGAACCTACAAGAGAGAAAGCTATATTAGATTCAATATTAGCATTCAATGTGAATATGATAGAGTTGTTGTTGGTGAGCATTTAAGTACAACTGATCATTTCACTATTAGTTGTGAGATTTTACTACATGTAGAATTGAAGAATAGTACCCTGATTCCAAATTTCAGAAAAGCCAATTTTAATGGAATGAGACATGATCTGGCTTCTATATATTTGGACTAAAGAGTTGGAAGGGGATCTTGAACAGATGTGGGAAGCATTTAGGGAAAAATTGATATGCATACAGAACATACATATTCCCTACATAAAAAAAGGGGCAACGGAGCAGAATAGCCAATATGGTTTAATAAAAGTTTAAGAGATCATATTAGGGATAAGCATAATAAATTCAAGAAATTTTAACTTACTGGAAATAATAAGGACTTGGAGGACTATAGGAAGTCAAGAGAACTGGTTAAATAGGAAATTAAAAGGGCAAAAACTGTATCTGAAAGAGGGGTGGCTGAGAGAGTTAAATCAAACAGTAAGGAATTCTTTAGGTATATGATGGGTAAGAAAAATGTTAGAATGGATATTGGATCTCTTAAAAATGATAGTGGGGAGCTGATCTCGGAAGATTATGAGATGTTAAACTCATTAAATAATATGTTCTCTTTATAAGTATTATATCATTTTAAGTTCTGAAATAGTAATAGAAAATTTGGGAAACCTAAAAATTGATAAATCCCCTGGACCAGACAACTTTTACCCCAGAGTTTTAAAAGAACTTGAAGATTTTATTTGTGAACCACTAGCTAATATTTTTTATAGGTCATTGAGTAGTGGAAAAGTATTAGAAGATTGGAAGTTGGATAATGTAAGTAAGGCTAATTAAAGGAATGATAAACATTGTCCAGGCAATTATAGGCCAGTTAGTCTGACATCAGTAGTTGGAAAGGTTTTGGAGAGAGTGATTAAAGATGCATTGTAGAGTTACTTGAAGCAGGTTGATATAGTGTCAAAGAGCCAGCATGGTTTCACTAAAGAAAAGTCTTGTTTAACAAATCTTTTGAGGATATTACTGCAAGAGTTGATGAAGGGAATACTGTGGATTTGGTTTACCCTGATTTACAGAAAGCATTTGATAAGATGCCTCACAAAAGATTTGTTACAAAATTTAAATCTGTGGGTGTGGGAAAAATGTTATTAAATTGGATAGAAAATTGGCTGGAGAGTAGAAAGCAGAGAGTAGTAATAAATGGAGTTAGATCTGACTGGATCACAGTTACAAGTGGTGTGCCTTAGGGCTTTCTGCTGGGTCCTCTGTTAGTGATTTATATTAATAATATTGACTCTGGGATGGCTAACTGTATCAAAGATGCTGCAGACTTACAGGGAGATTTAAATCATTTGATGCATTGGGCCAATATGTGGCAGATGATGTTTAACTACGCAAAATGTAAGGTGGTGCAGGTTGGTTTTTCACAATTCAAATTATTATTACAATTTAAATGTGAATGCATTAAATACTGTGTTGAAGAAAACAATCTTGGGATTGTGTTAAAAAAATCAATTAAGTCATCTAAACAGTGTATTGTAGCTAGCAATAGGGCTAATAGGATTTTGGGTAGCATCTGTAGAAGTATTGAATACAAGACAATGGGTATTATTGTTTCACTGAATAGATCACTTGTAAGGCCTCATTTAAAGTACTGTGTTCAGTTTAAGCTCCCTTCCTCAAGAAGGACATTGAATTGTTGGAGAAGGTTCAGAGAAGAGCCACTAGGATGATGGGAGTATCCTATGAGGAGAGACTAAAATCTCAAATAAACTTGTTTTCTCTGGAGAGGTGAAGGGTCAGAGAGATTTGATTGAGCATAGGAATTGTCTACAGTTTAGACTTTAGACAGTATTGCTTTTTGAACAGGGTGGTTTGCTTTTGGAATGAGCTGCCTTCAAGGGTGGTGGAGGCAGAAATATAACTGAGTTCAAGAAAAGATTGGATGAACACATGAGTAGTAAGGGGTTGTTATTTTTGGGAGCTGGAAGGTACATCCTTGATGAGCTAATAAGCTCCTTTTTGTCCCTCTAAAATTTTATGAATTTATAATTTATGCAGCTAATTTTTATTCTTTTTGCTTTTTGGTAAAGTCAATAACAAAATGCATTTTTTATCAGTGGTAAAATATTAATTATACAAATAATAAGTGGGGTGATTTTACTTTTCATATTTAATTTGTGCTATTAGCTCTTACTTTGTCATAGAGTCGGTAGATTCTATATGTAGGGATGACCAAGCCAAGGTACTCAGTAAGCATAATACAAATATGCATGCTAAAAAATCAACAGTGAAAGATATTTTTATTTTAAAAGATGATTGCCACTCACTTTCAACTGTTTCTCTACCTAGCAAGCCCCAAAAAAAGGCAAGAAACCATCACTAAGATACCAAACATGAAAGTGACCAACCCACCAAATTGTTCATCTTTCTTCTTGGCTGAGTCAAGTTAACTTTACAACTACTTTATCACTAACATCACTTTAAACCTAAATCCATTCTGTGTGTTTCTGGGCAGTGCATGATGTCATCACTTAGTTGTAATAACTAGTAGTAATTTTTTTAAAAATCATATTTGTAGTGTAAACATTGTTATCATTACCCCTTGAAGCTAGCTTTTTTATAGAAATCTGGTGTTCCTTTAAAAAGCTTAAGTACAATGTAAAACAGGAATTAACAACAGATGAACATTACATTATTGTAATATGTAGAATACTCAGTGCTTTGTACACTATACGGTCATTGTCTTTAGGAAGCCAACCACTATATTATGTATGAAGTGAAGGAGTAAAAAAAAAATTCAATACATATAATATTCAGTTGTATTACACACATTCATAGAATACATTAACTTTCAGTCAAGGAGGAAAAACCACAAAAATGTATTAAAAAACATCTTGTAAATGTAAAATGATGTGACTTTAATGTTACTGCTGTTGGAAGTTCTATATTTCTTATTGTTGGTATGTAGTATAACTAAGCGCCTAGGGCTTACATACAAGGAAAACCAAGTTGAGTCGAAACATGTCTTGAATAGTACAAACTCTAGCTATGAGGTTAGTTGAATTGACCAATCTTGTAACCATTTTGTACTCATGCATTTTATAGTGTAACATTAAATTTTAATTTTGAAAGTCATGTAGGAATGATCTATTTATAACTGTATCATCCTTATATTCTTGTTTGTATTATTTTTTGGCACTGCCATCACTATATCATTTTACATTTACAAAATGTTTTTTATTACTTGTTAACTTACTGGTTTTCAATAGAGATGAATATTTTCAACATATTTAATTAACCATTATACATGAATTTGGGATTATTAAAACAGTGTATTAATAGTTGGTAAAGGCACAATACCATGTAATCTAAAATAGGATTTAGATCCATTATTATCATTATGGAACACGAACAACAAAATTTTATGGATACAAGTTTGGACACTTAAGTTGGTCCCTCTTTGGTCCGATATTAAAGTGTTGAAGTTTGTATCCTTATAGATTCAGTGTTGTTTCATAACAGTGGATCTAAACTTTATTTTACATAAATGTTATCTTTGGAAATAACTACCCTTTTTTTCTTCTTCAAAATGCCACCTAGATCATAATAGCTGAGCTTAATACCTATTACACAAATATATATATAAATTTATGGTGTAAGTATTGATAAAAAATTAAAAATAGAGAAGTATAAGATACAAAATGGGCTCTACAAAAAATACCCAATGGTTATATTCAAGCATTGTATAAGACTACAGTTAAAAAGTGAAGTTTTGATTATGTATAAAGAGAAGTGATGAGAAAGCTGTGCTGTGGGACAATGAAATACATTTAGAAGATGTTTTAAGACATTTTTTTCATTGAGGTTGAGTTAGTGGTCTTATTTACTTTGTTGTTGAAGGATAGTAGAAGTATATGTTGAGAGCCACAACTGAAGAAAAGAAAACATAAGTTTCTTTCCACATCCATCTAGCAGAGTATTGTATTAACAAAAAATTACAATATGCTGGTTAAAAATACTAAAAAATGTAAGCACAACTTCCAAGGCTTAAGCACATGCCAATAGATAACATTCCTTTCTCAATCCTAATCAAAAGGTCTTGTTCAAATTCCACATGCCTTTCTTATCAGGACTACAAAAGGGAAAATGGCAACAGATAAGTATATGAAACATTAAAAATTAAATTAATAGGAAGATCACAGTTTTAGTCATTTTTTTTATATACAATAAGTATTTGTAAAATATACAACTTCCAAATGACTTTTAAACAAAATATGTTTTTGCCAACATACTAGTGGTCACTGCCAATGCAAATCTTTAAAAAAAATTTGTTCTACACTTGAAGTTTTTATTACTTGCAAGTATGTTACATGTCAATACCATTATAACTTTTATCAGAAATAATTACATCTTTAATCAAGTAATGCGTGATTGTATTCTCAGTCATTCAGTGAAGAAGAATTGAAAACCAACTATGAATTTTTATAAAATTATGATTTTGGTTAGTGTTCCCAAAACAGACATTTATTGAGGCTTTGATCATCTTGACCAGTTAAGAGATGGAAACAAGGTCAAAGAAGATGGCTGCAATAATTCTGAGCTGGTTAAGCAAAAATTGGGAAGTTTAAAGAATGATGAGGCTTCTGGACCAGATAATATTTCCCCAAGGGTTTTGAAGGAGGTTAAAGATTGGATATGTTAGCCAATTACTACTATTTTTTTTTTAAGTCCTTGAATAATGGGCAGGTACCAGAGGATTGGAAGTTAGCTACTGTAACACTTCTTTTCAAGGGAGGTGATGAAAATTGGCCCTATAATTATAGGTCTATTAGTTAGGTGTACATCAGTTGTGGGAAAATTTTTGAAAGTAAAAAAAAAAAAAAAAAAAAAAAAAGATTTACAAAGTCATTTAACAAAGTCCTTGTCAATGAATTTGAAAAGTTTAGAATCTTATTGGATAGTCAACATGGTTTGACTAAGGGAAAATCATGCCTTAAAAATCTTTTGACATTTTTTGAAAAGGTTACTGCTTATGTAGATGAAAGTAAAGGCATAGATTTGGTGTATCTGGATTTTCAGAAAGCTTTTGACAAGGTGCCACATGAAAGGTTTGTAAAAATATTATCTTTATAGGTGTGGGGGATGTTAGAAAAGTGGATAGAAGAGTGGTTGGATGGAAGATAGCATAGGGTTGTTACAAATGGAGTTCAGTCAAACTGGATTAATGTCACAAGTGGGGTATCTCAGGGCTCAGTCTTAGGACCTTTGATCTTTTTGATTTACAAAAGGATTTAGATCATTTAGTGATTTGGGCAAATAAATAGCAGATGAGTTTTAATTATAATAAATGCAAGATAATGTTTGTGGATTATTATAATTTGGATGGGAATAACCTTAATAGTGTTATGAAGGAAAGGGATCTTGGTGTAGCAGTTGATCAGTCTCTAAAGCCATCCAAGCACTGTTCTGTTGTTAGTGGTAGCGTAAATCGGATTTTAGGTTGTATCTATAGAAATATTAAATACAAGTCTAAAGAGGTTATAATTTCATTGTGTAGGTCCCCGGTTATGTCACAATTGGAATATTGTGTTCAGTCTTGGGCTCCTTACCTTAGGAAGGACATTAAACTGTTGGAAAGCATTCAGAGGAAGGTTACTGGGATGGAGGGGTTGTCATACGAAGAGAGATAGAAATCTCTCAAATTATTTTCTTTTGAAAAAAGTATAGTTGAGGTGTTTCAGGTTGTAAAGGGAATTGATAGTGTTGATGTATCATTTTCTTTCATACTTAATTGTGAGAACTGTAGGACTAGGAGACACAAATATAAATTTTGGCAGGGTAGGAGTCATCTTCAGCTAAGACAATTTTATTGTTGTAGAGGCAGTAAGTTTAAGTGAGTTTAGGAGAAAGCTTGATAACTATATAAATGATGATAAGGGCTGGCTTTAAGATTTTTTTAAAATTAATTTATTTAATAGTTTTAGTATAATTTAGAGGGTGGGACGGCCGAGATGGACCAATAGGTCTTTTGTTGTCCCAAAACATGTTATGTTATCATATGTTAAATAAGATATTTACCAAATGATATTTTTAACTATACAATAATAGTGTCAATTAGTGAAGTTTTTGGCTTCAACAATGAATTATGTGCAAAAAATCTTAGCTTATTATTACTGTTTACGAGTCCAATGTATTATGGAAGTGAAATGAATAATTGTTGCAAAATCTTCTTTGTAGGCTGATGAAGTACTTTTGAAGAAGCACTATGAAGAACTAGCAGGTCGCCCTTTTTTCAATGGTCTTGTTAAATACATGCAGATGGGTCCTGTAGTTGCCATGGTGATTATGAATGATTAAATATAATTTTTGTTAAATGTGGAATAATTATTCTCATGTTCCTGTAATTGAGTATTCTATTCAAATTAATGCATAAACAAAATTATTAGTATAAGAATTATATATAATATTGCATCACAATAATACTCATAATATCATTTGCTAAGTTGGACCTATAAGCTCTAATGTTAAGCAGAATTAAGGGTTTGGTCTTATTATGATATGGATACAAAAAGTTTTCTTGAGAAACATTTTTAACTTTTACTCCTACTTTTAAAACTGGCAATTATGGATTTAGATTAAAACATTACTTAGGAATCAGTTATATAAGTTTAGACTAAAATAATATTTAGGATACAAGAATCAATTGGTTATACATGTTTATTATATGGTTATGGTTTTATTACTTCTGAAATAAGAACTGCTGAAGATCTTAATAATACTTGTTGCCAGATTTTTCAAAGTAGATATATTATTATATACTCAATAGGCATGGGAAGGTCTGAATGTTGTAAAGACAGGCAGGGATATAATTGGAGCCACTAACCCCATGGAATCAAACCCAGGTACCATTCGTGGTGATCTCTGCATCCAAGTTGGAAGGTAAGATGGCGATGCATTCAAAACCCATAATTGGAAGAATAATCTCTACAGTTGAACTTTCAGTGTAAAGATCATATTTAGATGTATTTGAGATAGATATTAACATTTGATTGTTCGAAATTTTAACTCTATCCATCTCAGGCATGATAAGTTTATCACAGTTTGAGATCCAGTGGTGGTGTTTAGCTTTGATGTTAAATTTCGAATTAGGAGGTCTTCATGTTTCCTTAACGTTCATTCTTCTTTTGCCGAGTCTATCATTTTGAAGTGATTGATGTTCGGCTTCTTGCTACAGTCTTTGCTTAGATGGTTGTAAATTCCAGAGTTGTTGGAAGGGCTGTTTTGCACATGCTCTTTGACTCTGGTAGCTAGGGTTTGTGTCATTGACCCAATATAGCTATGCTTACAACATGGACACATGTATTGATACACCAGTGATTGTTTTTGAAGGAGAAATGGAAAATATTACATATTTATTTGTTCAGTTTGAAGATCACTCTCAGGCTGACTTGGAGATAAGTTGATTGCAGAATGTTCTTGACTTTTTTTTTTAGTTTGATGCCATGAGAACCAGTGAAGGGTAACACCAAAGTGATAGGGCATTTGGGGATGTTGGAGTCTGAAATCTTGAGGTTGTAAAGTTAATTAATATATTCAAAAATACTTTTTTTGATGACTGCTAGAGGGAAGGCATTTTTCATCAAATATTTTTTAATATTGATAACTTCATCGTGAAAATTACAATAAGATCTATGAATTAGAATGCTTATTAAATTAATTTTGTAACAAATCAGGTATAAATGTGCTGAAATGATCAGAAAATGATGGTATGTGGTAGTATCTGGCTTTGAACCTGTTCAGGTTGATGACCTCTAGATCTCAAAAAGGCAATTTACATTCTTTTTGTTGATCATCTGTTAACTTGATATTCCTGTGGTTAGAATTTAAATAATCTTGAAACTTTTTGACATGGCTCTGTTCTCTGAATACAATATAAGTGTCATCAACGTATCTGTTATAAACTAAAGGCTTAAATTGAGATGGCCAGGGCCGTAACCAATCAGTTTCATGATAAGACAAAACTAAATTATCTAATATGAGAACAAGTGGTGAGCCATACCATCAATTTGGTTTTATGTCTTATTAAACACAAAATGTGATTCTTTGGTTGTAATTTCAAGTAGTTTTGTAAATTGATTTTTAGTTAAGCCATTAACCTTAGTGTTATCAGGAAATACTAAATCACTACTTACTTTGATTACTTCATCAAGTGGAATGTTAGTGTATAAGGACTTAATATCAAAACTGGTAATGTATACAGATTGATCAAATTTCATTGTTTTGACGAAATTAGAGAAATCGGAAAGAATCTTTGACAGTAAAGACATTTTTAATAAATGGGAGTATAAAGATCAACCATTTAGAAAGGATAAGAAAAGCACATTATGTGTTACTTCTATGGTAAACTGTATTTTTACTGTTGTAAATATATTGTTAGTAATTTCTTAATTTCAAAAGGATATATATTTAAATAAATTCTCACTCTTCACTTTTCTATATCACGTGTCAATTGTTCACACTGAATTGGCCACTTTAGTTAATCTTTCCACTCTGTTTGAGCTTCTGCAAATTATACTCTTATACCCACCCGTTACGCACTTGTACCCACCCGTTACGCACTTGTACCTTCCCGTTACGCACTTGTACCCACCCGTTATACACTTGTACCTACCCATAGTTCAGATAGAAAGCAAGTTAAAGTACAGTAGTTATAGAACATCATATGTTTTGTACTTGTTATTATTTTGTGTTGTAAGTTGGATATTTGAAATATATAAAATGTCAGTATAGTACTGACAACAACCCTGAACAAACATACACATCAACATCACAATATGCAAAAGACATCGCCATTTGGAGTATTTCGAGCAACCCTGGTACAGCCTCGAACAGAGTCCAACGTGCACTGGACTCTGTCTCTAAGTGGTGCAACTCGTGGCGCGTATCATTGAACCCAACAAAGACACAAGCCATTGCATTTCACGAAAAAATAAACAGATCAAGGAAAAAATTAAATAATCAAGTTAAAACTTAATGACGTCAATATCACCTTCACGAATAGTTAAATTTCTAGGAATAAACTTCACTTTAAATTTAACATGGAACACGCATTTCAAGGACATTACAAGAAGAGTTAATGTCAGAGTAAAATACCT